ATTTCTCATCGCAAACAGTTCATCCGAGTGGGCTATTTGCTGTGTATCACACACATCTGGTTTACACGAATCGTTTGTGTTCTTTTGGTTGATTACAAATGCTGCATATCAGACACATCTTGTTAAGATCAACTGTTTCGGTTCTCTTGCCTAATCGAAAACAGTTTGTTCGAGTGAACCGTATGTTGTATATCACACACACCTTGATCTGGCTGACCATTTCTGTTGCATTCCCTAATAGTACATAGTTCATCGGAGCAAAGTGTATACCGTATATCGCACACACATTGATATGGTTGCCCGTTTCTGTTGTTCTTCCTCATCGCAAACAGTTCTGCTGGATCAACTGTATGCCCAACATCGCACAAGCAAGTAAAATCTGAACCGTGTTTGATGTCTCTGCCATCGCAAACGTTTTGCACCTTTTTTGACGGGTTTTTTACACCACCATTTGCGATTATTGCATCGCACACAGTTTCGTCGAAGGGTCTCTGATTGTAGTGTCGCGTTAGCAGCATCCTGCAGTAGTGCCAAATTAATGACTGCCATGTCAGCACTCAAGTGCGGGTGTCGCCTTCTTTCTGATGTGCAATGCCTTGGCCTCCATGTACATCATGGTGGGGAATGCCTCGACCACCTTGGTGTCGCACCCGCACGTGGCTTGCCATTGATGTCGCCTCACGATGAAGCTCGAGAAGCTAACGACGAGGGCAGAGCCTGCATGGGTTGGTATGTGCTAGGAGTAGTTGGTGTAGTTGTGACCGGTAGATGGAGGCGACGAAGTAGACAAACACCGCGACGACGACGGGCAGCGGCATGATTGATGATGTTACAGCCCAGGGGTGCCTCATCTTACCAGAAGTCGGTCTGGGGCCCCCTAGGTCGGTTATATCAACGGGCCTTAAAAGGCCAAGAGGTCGAGGGAGAATTGGGCCACCAAGGCCCAATAGGGGAGGTGCCCCCTTTCCCCCTTTGGGAGGCTGAATTGGGGTGGGGGAGGAGGAGTCCTTCCCCTCTTCACTAGTGCAGCACCCTGCTATACAAATAGTTTTTAATCCCTTTCCGCGACGGCATTTTAAATCGTCGCCTTGCTTGTGTGTGTGCGATAGGGGGTTCCTTCCCACATGACTCAGAAACTATCGGCGATAGGTCCTCCGGTCACACACGCGGGGCAAAAAGGGCTCATGTGCGATCGGGTGAGCCATCGCATACAATTATACATGCCCAATCATTTCCATTTGTATGTACATCCCACACATTGTATCCCATACAAATGTTTCCGTTCATATGTACATCGCACATAGTGAATCTTAGACAAACGTTTTCATTTTACATACATCACACACGATTTCCCCCATCACATCATTGTGATAGCGTTGCCATTGCAGACGATATTAATAATTTTATCATTTGTGTTATTGAATGCATCACGCACGTTCCCTAGAACAAACTGTGTGGCATAGGCTGTCCATCACACACACTTTTAATATGGAAAACATTTGTGCAAGGTGGCCTAACACAAATAGTTATCCAAACAAAGTTGCGTGTGATTGTTTATTGATCCAACACGTTTACTTCCTAGAAACTGTGTGGGTTGTCTGAAGTCATCGCCCACGATGTTGTCTCGATAACCATTTCTAATAGAAAACCCCAATTAGCATGCTAATTGTATGATTATTTTTAATACATTTAGTAATCAAATTTTTCATCACTTGCTCTTCTAGATGATCCATTATGATCTCTTTAGAAGCACAATGAAGTCTTCACTTGACTTGCTTCATTATTAGATCAACTCAACTTATGAGCTCATCATAATCTCATATTCAAGCCTTATCTAGAATTATTCCCTTTAACCATTCTCTCAAGATCTTGATCCATAATAGATCAACTCATAGGTCCAAGCATGAAAAACTTTGAGTTCATTCAATGAACTTCAACTTGATCACACCTTATACATCACATAGACTTCATATTGATTATACTTGATTCAATCATAGAACTTAATCTTGAGGTCCTAAAGTCCGTTCTTTTGCTTCTTATTGGTCATAATATATATATTCATCACTAGAGCTCAATGATTTTGATGCATATCGTTATGTTGATGGCATTCATTCCAAATCCATCCAATATTCTTCATGCATTGCCTATCAAACTTTTATTCAAATACATCTCAATGGAAAACATTAGTCCATATGGATTATAACTAATTACCAAAACCACACATGGAGAACTCCATGAAATTTTAGCCAGACTCCTTGTTTTCGGCGTTTGAGTCCGAGTCAGCGCTCCTGATTTTCTCGCCGCCTTGATTTCCCCGTTACCGGCACCTCTCTTGTTGGCCTGCGTGACGCCCACCAGAAGAAGTTGTTATAGGTTGGCGGTCAGCGTGTCTTGAGGCTGAGGTGTTGAAGATAATAGAGATTCACAGACTATGGCAGGCCTAAGAAGAGCTAGTTTATATCAAGCAAATCGGTAAAAGAGGACATTCCGCTTTCCTAAAATCAGTGATATGGGCCGACCCATTCTCGTTTTCCTCCCCACTATTTGTAGGAAGGTTCTATTTTTTCTTTTGGTTTTTTCTGCTTATTTTTCTAATTCTTTTTATTTTTATTTTTAGTTGTTTTATTTCTAATTTTCTTGAATATTTTTAAAATTCCAAACATTTTTTAATGTGAGAACATTTTTCAAATTTCTAAATAAATTTTAAATTTCTTTATCAATTTTTAAAATTCATGAACATTTTTTACTTTGGGGAACATTTTCAAATTAATGTATATTTTTAAATCCATCATGAAATTTCTCTAAATCCAAACCATTTTCAAATGCATGACATTATTCTGAAATCCAAATTCATTTTTCAATTGTTGAATAGTTTTTGAAATTTGAAAAATTAATTCATGAATACTTATAAATGCGCAAACATTTTTTTCAAAATTTGGAACATTTCTAAAAATTTGAAACATTCGTAAATCCCTGAATATTATTTAAAATTATCAAGTTCATGAAATTGACTGAAATCAAAAATATTTTATGAAATCGTAGAAGCGCGTTACCTTGCCTCCCTGTTACAACAAAAGGTAGCGTGATGGCGTCTACTTCAGCGACGGCTGGTTCGTAGCAGAGATCGAGACAGGGGAACGTATCTGGTGCACCGGAGCAATTGGTGCTACCGGTGCACCAGACCATGTTACATATTAAAAAATGTTTGAAAAAATCTGAGAAAAATTTAGTGCATCAACACAACATCAGTGTATGTTGTCACAAAAATTCAAATCAAAATTCAAAATAATGCTCAAGATACAAAAATGACAAATTTGACGTCAATGTGCTAATGGGCCAAAACTGAAGCCCAACTTGTTTTATGTACTGTTCAATGCCAAATTTGTCATTTTTGTATCTCAAGCAATGTATCAAATTTTTGATTTGAATTTTTGCGACAACTTACTTTGATGTTGTCTCAGTGCACTAATTTTTTTCTGAAATTTTTCGAACAATTTTTAATCTGCAAGGGGCGACCGGTGCACCGGTAGCACCAAATGCTCCGGTGCACCGGTAGCACCAAATGCTCCGGTGCACCGGATACATCCCCATCGAGACAGTGGGCTGTCTATCTTGTTGTGTCCTTGTTTAATACGAGTACAATCGTCTTCCATGTGCTCGGCGCAGTTGCAGCAGGACTGAGTGCTTAACATTCCTCTTTAATGCGAGACAGGGTTGTTTAACGCGGCCACCCACCACATGCTCGAGACAGGATCGGTTAACTGACCCTGGAAAAAAAATTCTATAAAACCAGGTCTCACGGATTAGTAGGTGACAAATTAGAAAGCATTTATCCCACCCCTACATGAAAATCAAGGGAGGAAGGGGGGGAGGGAATTAGATGCTTTGTGATTTGTGAATGCCATGTGTCATCCACGTGTCATCCACTGGCCCTGGCCCGTGCTCTTTCTGTTTGCTGTAGATTATCTTGGAGATGTTGAAAGTTGCAACGCGCTGGACCGTGCGTACCAATCGACTCACTTGCTTGTGCTAGTTATAGGGAGCGACTGTGCATGTATATAGATATGGAAATATGAACACCGACCCGACCACGTTACCCTTGCCCGCTGAATTTCGGCACTGCATTCAGGGTCTTGTACCTAACAGCTACTCACTGGTCAGTGTCCACAATATTTTGGTTGTGCATATCAGCATGTACGATGGTTGTAACTTGTATGGCACACAACAGGCAGTGCGCATGACGACTGAACAGTAGACAGAGTCGAGCTTAAGAAAAGACGCCACCGGTGCTGAAACAGCCGAGACTGAGAATTCGCATCACCCCATAGAACAAGATTATATAAGCTGCTGCTACCCAACACGTCACAAAATCTTTCTTAAGCCGGATCAACACGTTACACCTCTGTGATGTGCGTCGGCAACATGGCTATCTCATGTCCATTGTGAAAACAAAATGAACAGAACCGGCAAAGGGGCCAAACTGAAACCACGCCCATCGTCGCATGTGCAACGGACTCTTACATAGGAAAACAACAGGCGGACGCAGAAATCCAGTGAGCCATGCGTGCGCCACCGCAAAACGAGAGCCGTCACGGCCATCCTCTGCCCGTCCGTGCTTGCCCACTCGCTTTCGTCATGTCGCGCCCGCCGAATCCAAGCCGAGACGCCATCGGTGACGACGAAGCGCCGTGCGCCGTGCCGGTACGCAGTGGTGGCTCCAAGATAACATAGTTATTGTGCACTCCATCCACCACCACGTGGGTGGCCCAAGATTAATTTTTCGTTTGCAACAAGTGCCGACACGCAGGCATGGCACTGATGTTTCACATGACGGAGTGCAGACTAGAAAAACATCACTGTATTACTACTGCTCGCAGTTAATTATCCACTACTAGGAAAAGTGCCGCTACATGTTACAGCAGATGAGTACGTCACGATAGATGAGAAATCAAATCAACGCCTCACGCGGCGACTACCACTTCTTGTCCTTGTTTATTCACCTTCCGCCAGAGAGGCCGGAGACGGCCGAGACGTCGCCGGAGGTGGGGCTGGCGTCCGTGGTGACCGTGGACGGGAAGGACATGGCGAACGAGTCGAACCCGTCGTTCTGCATCAGCGCCAGCGTGGTGTAGCTGAGGAACGTCGGGACGACCTCCGGCATGGCCACCTCGCCCTCCAGGTACTGCGTCACCTGCCGCATCCCGGGCCGCGCGTCCGGCAGCGGGTGCGCGCACATCAGCCCCAGCTTGATCGCCAGCCGCGCCTCGTCGGCGTCGTACTTGCCGCACAGCCGCGGGTCCACGGTGTCGAGCCCCGCGCGCCTGCGCTCGTGCTCCTGCACCCAGTCCAGCAGCACGTTCTGGTCGTCGGGCGCGATGCACCCCAGCGGGCGGCGCCCGCAGGTCACCTCCAGCACGAACACGCCGAACGCGAATACGTCCGTCACCGGCGTCGCCTTGCCCGTGCGCACCAGCTCCGGCGCCAGGTACCCCATGGTGCCCACCACGTGCGTCGTCTGCGGGTCCACGCCGTGGTCGTACAGCCGCGCCAGCCCGAAGTCCCCCAGCCGGCCGTTCATGTCGGCGTCCAGGAGCACGTTGCTGGCCTTGATGTCGCGGTGGATCACGATCTTGTCCCAGTCCTCGTGGAGGTACAGCAGGCCGGACGCGACGCCCCTGATGATCTGGAACCTCTGGCTCCAGTCCAGGACGGGCTTGGTCTTGTCGTGGAGGTACTTGTCGAGGCTGCCGTTGGGCATGCAGTCGTACACCAGGAGGAGCTCCCCCTGCCGGCGGCAGTAGCCGAGCAGCTGCACCAGGTTCCGGTGCCGGAGGTGGCCGAGGCTGACCACCTCGGCGATGAACTCCTTCATCCCCTGCTTGGAGTCGTGCGACACCCGCTTCACCGCGATCTCCAGGTTGGACTTGGGGAGCACGCCCTTGTACACCCTGCCGAAGCCGCCGGTGCCCAGCAGCTGCCGATTCTTGAACCCCTTGGTGGCCTTGTACAGCTCCTTGTACGCGAAGCGGTGCGGCCCGAATTCCACCTCCCAGTCCTCGCGCACCTCCGCGTACCTGATCCGCGTGCGCACGAACATGAAGAAGGCGATGGCCAGCGCGAGGACGAAGGCCGCGGTGGCGATCGGGAGCACGATCTCCAGCACCTTGGACCGTGGCTTGGGGCCGAACCGCGGCAGCGAGGGGAGCTTCGAGGTGTCGAGCGGCGGCGCCGGGCCGTTGAGCGCGAAGCTCCAGCCGAGGACGTAGTGGCGCGTGAAGATGACGCCCGTGGCCGCCGAGAACCCGACGTACGCCGTGTCGGTGACGACCGCCGAGAGGTTGACGGGCGCGGAGATGAGGGGCTTCTTGGGCCTGGGCACGTCGAGGGGCGCCATGGTGACGTCGAGCCGGGTGGTGGCGCCGTCGTAGTCCACCCAGACCTGCATGGGCTGGCGGCTGATGAGGCTGAGGTTGTTGAACACGCCCGTGGCATCGTCGTACCACCCGGCGGAGTGGTTCTGCACGGACCGCAGGCTGTTGAGGTCCACGCCGACGTGGTTGCTGTTCATGTCCTGGAACTCCGGGTTGAGCATGGTGTCGAGCTCGACGGCGAAGACGCCGTTGTCGGGCTTGCCGTTGTCCGTGACGTTGAGGATGCCGAGGTACTGGCCGGCGTTGAAGGTGGAGAGCCTGGTGCTGGGCGCGACCACGAACGCCATGCCGTTGTCGCTCAGCACGGTAAAGTTGGAGACGATGGCGAAGACGAACGCCACCGAGAAGGACTGCACGGTGCCGTTCCGCATGCGGAGCGGCGTCGGGTGGAACGCGTGGCCCGCCGCCTGGCTGGTGCCGTTGCTGAGCGCCAGCAGGCCGTTGGGCGCCACGGCGGCCAAGCCGTCGAGCGTGAGGTTGGCGTCCGCGAAGCCGTTGTAGGCGAACTGGTCGGCGGCCTGCGCGGCGCCACGGCCAAAGCCATGAGCACCGAGGAGGACGAGGAGGATCGCGAGGAGGAGAAAGCGGCGAGGAGCCATGGTGAGTGTCCGTGCGTTGCTTGCGGCGTCCGCTGCGCCTCGTCTCTTGTGCGAGCAGCTCAGGCCTGCGGTTTGTAGTGTAGAGTGTATAGTGGGCTGCCGCGTGTGAACGATGCGATCCTGATTTTGGCGATGGTGCGACGCATTGACCCGAGCGGCGAGTCTTCGTTCAAAATCTGCTGCTTGGGGTGCCAGTAATCAAGATTGTGTTGCTAACGTGGGTGGGGAGGGTGGGGTGCTAATCAAGACTCTGCCGCTAACGTGGGTGGAGAGTACAATCAGAGCTGTGCAAGATCACAGTACAGAGACAAACAATGCTAGTGCTCCAGTGGGGACCTTGCGCTGCGTACGCGTGCATTGTACTTCGACGACTCCGGGAGTCAAAGTCAAAAAGAAGTTGATACAAAATTATGTTAGGTGGGCGATGGCATTATGACAGGAGTGAGTGGTTGGGCGTCAGCGTCACACCGCAACAGGAGCAACACTATATACGCATTTGAGAAAGCTGCTAACTGCGACGAACTTGAGTTGGTGCGCCCTTCTCTGACTTCTCCTCGGCACATTTCGCCCCTTTTTCTTACCACTCGTGTCAGGATCATTGAAGGTCGCAAAGAAATAGACCCGGAAATTGCAAGATGGTACAATGTTCAAAAGAATTGGCGTGGTATTAAAAACGTCGAAGCAGATAGATACAAATCTGTTTGGTTTCTTCCATCCTCAACCACCGGGGAAACTGAGGCGAGTGGATGGGTCAATGGAGTGAGTGGCAAGCCCCACAGCCCACAGCGCACAGCGAAGCGGATGAGATGAGACATGGAAGGTTCCCACGAACGAACGAGCCGCAAAGGATAGGAGCCCCCACGCACGGCCTGTGCCCTGTGGCCCTGTGGGCGCCGGCGCGGCGCGGGCGGGCTGCATGCAGCCTCTAGTAAGAGCAAGTATAATAGAGATGAGTCAGCAGGCTATATGAAATAAACTAGTATATTTTTGCTTAGTTGAAGGAAAGAGAAGAGGAGAGAAAAGGTAAGCGGGCTCTTCGTGAAGAGCCAGCTCTAGCACGTGCTCCTAGGCACTTTATGAGAATGAAAGGTGGGCCACATAATGAAAAAGTAGTACTACCTCCGTCCCGGTGTATAAGTCATTCGCGTAGTTCTAGGTCGATAATTTAACTATCTAAATATGTATTATATGTGACAAAAAATATATATTTAGAAACTACATCCGCGTGGAAATCTAGTGGTATACTTTTCATGACATATAACACATATTTAATTCCTCAAATCGATGACCTAGAACTACGCGAATGACTTATACACCCGGACGGAGGGAGTACACTCTTTTGATCTACTGTTATACATGTTGGCTATAACATGGGTTGTAGATGACATGGCACTGGCTTATAGCCAGCAGCTGGCTATGGCCATGCTTGGATCCAAGGGACTATTTTTAGTCTGATTAAAACTAGTCTCTTTTAGAGGCTAAAGTTCCAATCACCCCTGACTAAAGAGAGGCTAGAACTAGTCTTGAGACTAAAAAATTTAGTCAAGGAAACCCTACTAAAATGTGGATTAGTCCTCTCTTTCCTCATTTAACTCCTTTCTTTTAACACATGCGAGTTCGGGATTGGAGTGTTTGGAGGATAATAAATACTCATTAACTCATTTTAGTCTATTTAGTATTTGTATCCAAGCATGGGTGAGACTAGCAAATTTTAGTCCCACTACTTTTAATCATGAGACTAAAACGTATCCAAATACCCTCTATACTATTAACCATGCTCTAATTGCTGCGTGACTTTGCGTGCTCGCGCCGCGTCTCCCCGGTCGCGTCCATTCGGAAAACCGTGCCGAAATCGTTGACGCGGCGACGCTCTTGACCCATCAGGACGAACGGGCAGCGGACAGGGACAAAGCCAAGAGCCCAAGAGGCAGGCATCACGGCTCCGGACAGACGCGTCCACACATGTGCAGTCGCTGTACCATCGCCCACGATTAGGCGCGACCAAAAATTAGATTTTGCCTTGCTCCTCTCACTCTCACAGCCTCACCATCCCCCCAGGATCTGTGCTAATCTCGACGTTTACATCTGGTCAACTTCACACCACTTTTAAGGTTAAGCCACCCACACAAAAGAAAAGGATATGGTATATTAATTACACGCCCGTAGTACTACTTCTCTCTCAGTTTACAGGCCGCGCGCATACCTCTAGGTCGTCAATTTGACCAATCTAATACAAGTCATATATTACAAAAAATATACCATCATAAACTTCAGAGTTTCTACTTTCAAAAGGTATAATTTTTATGTTATATAATTTATATTAGAGTGATAAAATTGATAACCTAGGTATACGCGTAGGACTTGTAAATTGAGACGGAGGTAGTAGTATTAGTGGGGCTATAGAGAGGCCAGCAACGGCACTCGCCGTCTACTTCAATCCACCACTGTGTCTGTAGAGATCCAGAGACCATGCTGCCTCCCGATCGAGCCATGCCGCTCCTTCTCCTGCTCCTCTTCCTCGGCCTCGGCCCGGCGGCGGCGGCGGCGGACGAGCAGTTCGTCTTCGACGGCTTCACCGGCGCGAACCTCACCATGGACGGCATGGCCACGGTGACCCCCAACGGGCTGCTCCAGCTGAGCAACGCCACCAGCCAGCTCAAGGGCCACGCCTTCTTCCCGACGCCGCTGCAGTTCCACCGGGCGCCCAACAGCACGGCCATGCAGTCCTTCTCCACGGCCTTCGTCATCGGCATCATCGGCGCCTACGACACGCTCAGCAGCCACGGCATGGCCTTCGTCGTCGCCAAGAGCCGCAACTTCACCTCCGCGCTGCCGGGCCAGTTCCTCGGCCTCGTCGGCTCCGCCAACAACGGCAACGCCACCAACCACCTCTTCGCCGTCGAGTTCGACACCATCCTCAACTCCGAGTTCAACGACATGAGCGGCAACCACGTCGGCATCGACGTCAACGGCCTCAACTCCGTCGACGCCGACAACGCCGGCTACTACGACGACGCCACCGGCGCGTTCAGGAACATCAGCCTGGTCGACCGCAAGCCCATGCAGGTGTGGGTGGACTTCGACGGCCGGACCATGCAGGTCAACGTCACCATGGCGCCCCTGCAGGTGGCCCGGCCCAAGAAGCCCCTGCTCTCCGCCACCGTCAACCTCTCCTCCGTCATCGACGACACTGCCTACGTCGGGTTCTCCTCGTCCAGCGGCATCCTCTTCTGCCGCCACTACGTGCTCGGGTGGAGCTTCAAGATGAACGGCGCCGCCCCGGCGCTTAACATCTCCTCGCTGCCGTCGATGCCGGTCACGTTCCCCAAGCCGCGGTCCAAGGTTCTGGAGATCGTGCTCCCGATCGCGTCCGCGCTGCTCGTCTTCGCGGTGGCCGCCGCCGTCTTCGTGTACATGCGGCGGCGGCGCATGTTCGGGGAGCTCAAGGAGGACTGGGAGGTCACCTTCGGGCCGCACAGGTTCTCGTACAAGGACCTCTACCACGCCACCGACGGGTTCAGCGACGAGCGGCTGCTGGGCATCGGCGGGTTCGGGAGGGTGTACCGCGGCTCGCTCCCCAAGTCCAAGTCGGCGGAGATCGCGGTGAAGAAGGTGTCGCACGGGTCGAGGCAGGGGATGAGGGAGTTCGTGGCGGAGGTGGTGACCATCGGCCGGCTCCGGCACCGCAACCTGGTGCAGCTGCTGGGCTACTGCCGGCGCAAGGGCGAGCTGCTGCTGGTGTACGACTACATGCCCAACGGCAGCCTGGACAAGCACCTGTACGACGACCAGAAGAAGACGGCGGCCCTGGGCTGGTGGCAGAGGTTCCGGATCATCAAGGGCGTCGCCTCCGGGCTGCTGTACCTCCACGAGGACTGGGAGCAGGTGGTGGTGCACCGGGACATCAAGGCCAGCAACGTGCTGCTGGACGCCGACATGAACGGCCGGCTGGGCGACTTCGGGCTGGCGCGGCTCTACGACCACGGCACGGACCCGCACACGACGCACGTGGTGGGCACCATGGGGTACCTGGCGCCGGAGCTGGGGCACACGGGGAAGGCCTCCAAGGCGTCCGACGTGTTCGCGTTCGGGGCCTTCATGCTGGAGGTGGCGTGCGGGCGGAAGCCGGTGGTGCAGGACGCGCGCGACAACCACCTGGTGCTGGTGGACTGGGTGCTCGACCAGTGGCGCGCCGGGACGGTCACCGGCGCCGTCGACCCGCGCCTGGGCGGCGACGTCGTGGAGCACGAGGCGAGCCTGGTGCTGAGGCTGGGCCTGCTGTGCTCGCACCCGCTGCCCGGCGCGCGCCCGACCACGCGGCAGGTGGCGCAGTACCTGGACGGCGACCTCAAGCTGCCGGAGCTGTCGCCCACGTACCAGAGCTTCAACATGCTGGCGCTCATGCAGGACCAGGGCTTCGACCCCTACGTCATGTCCTACCCGATGACCTCCATCACCGCCGGCACCATGTCCCAGATGTCCGACCTCTCCGGAGGGAGGTGATCCGCGGTCGTCGGCGTGTCACTAGAACTGCTGTCTGCTAGCATCTTCATATTTTGTGTATGTTCAGAACCGGGTGAGTTTCTTTGTGTGGTACATGGATCGATAACCTGAATGTAAAGTGTTGTGCAATTATGCTCAGCATGGTTTTATGTTCAGATGAGATATTACCGACCAAAAAAAGTGAGATTTGGGTGTTTGATCACACACCCCAGTTTTATCAACTAATGTAGTGCTAGGAGTTTCTGAATGTAAACCATGAATCCATGATGCTGATCCTCTCCAAATCCGAATATTTCATTTATGCTAGGAGCAGTAGAGATCCTGACGGCTGACGTTCCGAATCACCCATGCCACAAGATCCAGAACCTGACACAAGTTCCAAGCGTGTTGAACATATTTTTACAGATCCATCGAACATCTTTCTGATGTAAATATGGTTTACTCTCTTTCGCAACACAGAAAGTTATGTCTTTTGAAATATTGCTCAGTAAAATTGGTTTGAATTACCCCAAAGAAGAAGAAAAACATTGCTCTGGGCATCTAGAAGACGGCAACCAGGGAAAATAATTGGTCCGCTGCAACAATTATCTGAGTGAGATATTTATGATAAAGTAGCATATATATCAACAAGTCCTTCCAGAAGAAATAGCATGTGATCATCTATGGTCTCTGATGTCACGGGTGATGCAGACTTTGTGCTTCCAGAATCCATAATACAGGAGGCAGTTTCATGCCTGTCAGAGCAACCAGATTGAAAAGCATCATATGCATGGGATGAAGTCAAGGAACAAAACCAAGGCCGAAGCCAAATGTTGTAAACTCTACGCAATAACAAATCCTACACAACGGTCGTTTCTAAGGATTAAAATTATCACAAAATCCTATTTTTAATCAAACAACTCCAAAGCATTTGGACCCTGATAGACAATTGGATATAATCCAAGTGTCAAGGAACACAATAAGGTCTTGAACTTGCCAAATAACATGATTTCCATCAATAATACATGACACAGCCTTTCGGCGATCCAGATTTGGCAGAATAACTAAAATATATGTAAGCTTACAGAAATGGTGTCTATCAGCAAGTCATGGATTATATATTTTGTCAGTAATGGAAAGAATACAGTATCTCAAAATGCTTCTAGATTCTTGTCAGTCTAAATCAACGGCCTTTTTTGTCAAAAAAAAAATCCTATAAGAACACGGCACAAAACTGTACCCCACGAAATAAGGAATCCGTGAATCCTCAGTTGATCTTGATCAAATACCAAGATGGCACAGTGCAAAAGCCAAAACTGCACTCTTTGGTGATATGTGAATTTCTCCAAAACTCATGCAAAGATCTCCGGAAAAAACATTCATAAAACCAACGGAGGGATCCAAGCAGAAGCTGTAAGAAAACATGAAATTAGACAAAGAAGAGTCAAGTAAAAAAAGGTTAACAAGGAGCCAACAGGACTTCAGAAACACAGCATGCCAAATAAAGTGGAAGGTACACTGATCAAATCTGGAGCTAAAACACCAAACTTCTAGTCCATCTTTTGGGATAAGAGTTGTCCTTCACAACAGGGGTCACAGTCCACAGTCATGAAAACTAATGCTTACCAAACCATTGGTAAGCCTTGCTGTCTTTTCCGAAGCAATTTTTACGAAGTTGCAACTTGGACATTCAGATCCAAGATTTGATGTATTTCTTCCAAATGGTGTTAGCTAACAACACCTTCATACTCTAGAAAGAATTGTCCTTTTTTTTGCATGGTTCAGCAAACCACAGCACGCACACCGACACGCTCGTACAATTAGCAAATTGTAACCGACAATCATGTACTGGATCCCACTTCACTCCAATGCATAACCCATACAGAATGGCACATACCAGTTACAATGTCAAAGGAAGGGAACCGTACAATTAAAATTTGGAAAGTCTTTTGCAATCCTGGTTACTAAACATGAATTTCTTGAGCACATTATTAAGTTTGCAGGAGAGAACTTCAACAACGCAAAATTATATGATTGCATCAGTCTACCAAAAAACTCGTTTCACTCTTTATCACGAGTTGCAAACTTCATCAACACGAAATTATATGAATACCTGGGTCATATAGAGGTTAGCAAAATCCTGTTTTGTTCATTTCCTATTTGAAACAACAAAATTATAGTAATCCTCTTCCCCATAAAGTCTCCTGAAAACATGAGAAGAATAAGCATCAAGATAGCTGCCAGTTAAGGAATATACAAAAGTCAAATGAGGAAGATTGCAAGAACCACAGCATTGCAAAATCTGGTAGGTTTTGCATTCATTTGGCCAAACTCATTACCTACTCCTTCAGTTGTAAATTTTAAAAGGCAATTTCAAGGCTACCAATCTCCTATTGACTCCTTCCTAAACAGTGTTATTCTGCAGTTTGATCCTTAGTTTTCTTTTAAGGAGATAGTAAGGGAGGGTCCTGTTGTAAATATATCATGGTGACATAAAACCAACTAATCTATCTCCCGCTGGGCAAAGCCATGTCAGATGAGCTCTTAACAGGCAATATTATCAGCAGAAAGAAGCTTTTCTATCTGTACTAGATAGGTGGAATCTTTCTGAAAAATACTATTATGCCTCTTAAGCCAAATATTCCAGCATGCTAATGTACTAGGTTCCTTCAAGAAGTCTTCTAATATACAGTAAAACTAATAATGACATGAAAGTACTTCTAAATAAAAATCTAACACTACTATTTTTATGTAATCATCAAAATGACACGAATAGCTGCCAAAGTACACACAACCATATGAAAAATGGCATCTTGAATGTGCCACATGTGAATGGGCCCGTTCCAGTAAGACCAAGACCATAAATTTGGGCAGTATTATCCACAGGTACCCTAGAAGGGCAATGCATCTCCAAATATAGTGCTACATGAGCTCATGATATGCAAAAGAAAACAGATAGGAACTTGACTTCACTTACGCTACATCTGCTGACGAACCACACTTTATCACACCTTTCCCTTCAGTCCCTTCAAGGCAAATGTAGTGCATTATGATTTCTCTTAGCGTTGTCTTTGTGCTCTTAATATCGTTGTCCCACAAAATAGTCTGCCCCAAAGAAATAAAATGTGAAGACATATAGATCCAATAAGTAAAACAAGACAGTAACTTTGATGTTTGAACAGAACAAATGCAAGAGCAACATTTTTAAATACCTTTCTCACATACTCTCTTTTGAAATCCTCCCAAGGTACTTTGCCTTTAGCAGAGAAAATGGAGGCATTCCACAAGGCACCTCTAGCAGCCATTACAGATGTGGCACCTAGAAGTCAAAGTAATCAAGATACAAACCCATTGTTAAAAACAACATGCTTACTACTTACTTACGAAGCCTTTTATCCCAAACAAGTTGGGGTAGGCTAGATATGAAAGCCTTTCACGAGGACTTCCCAGGAGGTCACCCATCCTAGTACTATTCTCGCCCAAATGGGTTTCATACCCAAAAGACTGGCTAGTTTTTGCGTTGGCTCGCCAAGCCTACCACAACCCTTAGATATGAAACCCTTTCACGAGGACTTCCCAGGAGGTCACCCATCCTAGTACTACTCTCGCTCAAATGGGTTTCATACCCATGGGACTGGCTAGTTTTTACGTTGGCTCGCCAAGCCTATCACAACCCTCCTCCTTTACCCGGGCTTGGGACCGGCTATGCCTAGAAGACATAGGCGGAGTTGTTAAAAACAACATGAAAGAGAATAAACAATAATATGCCGGTGCACTCTGACTCACCAAGAACTGGAAGCAAGGTGTTAATCCCTCACATTTGTGCAGTTTTTTTAGAATACCTTTATGGGTTTTCAAGAAACTCAGATTATGCATGCTTGTTTGCGAATGAATATTTTCATTTTCCAGTTAACTCAGATGTTTATTGCCATTTGGCACTTAGGAAATGACATAGTACTACTATCGCAATCAAAGTACATGGAGATTTTTCTTTTGGCTAGGTGTAAAGTAAGCACAATACTGATAACTGGCAAGCAAATAAACCCGAAGTAGCGAGATTTAGGCTGAGATCTATTTATGCATTTCTCAATTTCTCTTTAATGCACTATACTATAAAAATTACTATAATAAATAAAAGAGCATATGAATGGAACATACAAACCTGTAGCATCTTTGATTCTCTTAAAATCTTCGTACTCAAATACATTCCCATTAGCTATAACTGGAATTGACAGTGCGGATACAACATCAGCAATCTCATCCCACTTAGCCGGATCCCTTGGCCTGTCTTTGACCTTTCTGCAGTTTTACAGAAGGCTGACATAAGGAAAACAACTACTCGAAAATGATCCTAGGGTCCATGAAAAATGGAAGATGATATATGCACCACGTCATATTTCATTTTGATTACTGTGAAAACTAAACCCAATGGATTACAAAGTAAATCTACAGGTTAGTTAATGTATGGATAGTGGGCAAAAAAACAGTGGGCAGAAATGCGAGTCAGTCCCTGAACTTTCCATGGATTTAAGTCGTATCAATTTGGGTGTTAAATTTGGTTGATACCCTTTAAAAACACGAATGGCAAATTGTGCGCTTTCAAGCAAGATAAGACTCAGAAATACAATTGCATCTGTGCTTACCTTCCATGGACAGCCAGAGCTGGAACACCACATTTCTCAATCCGGCGTGCCAACTCCACAGTGTCCTGACGTGTGTTCAGTAGACGGATTTTACATGTCACTGGTGTGTTCAAGTTCCTCCGCAATGTAGTCAAAATCTACATGGAATAATTTGTATAGCCTGAATAAGCATAGTAAAGTACAAGGCATGAAAGTAAGAGAACAAACAAGACCATATAGGCATGTACATCATGTATAAGCTCAGGTTTGGAGAGTAATGCAGAACCCATTCCTCCACTGACAGAAAAAGCCTTTGGACAACCCATGTTGATATCTATAGCAGCAATATCATTACACCTGATGAGGATGAAAAATTATGATTAAAGAGAAGATGCTATG